GGTTTCCAACTCTGAAGAAGGCGATAACGCCGAAACGTAAGTTGATAAGAATTTATTTACCATCTTGGCAACAGGTTTTATTAAAATCTTATAAAAGACCAACGCACGCTTTTCGAACGAGTGCAAGTCACTGTGATGCAACTGAAACAAAAAGGAGAACACGTAGACACTCAAGTAATGGTCAAGAAAATTCTGGGCACATTTCCTGCACATATCCTAAGAGGAGTGCTTTGGAGAAGGCGTCCTCTACCATTAAATATGACATTTACGATGAAAGCACTTTTTGATGCAATTGAAGACGTTTTGTCAGAAGAAGAAATGTTGAACCTTTTCATTAATGAATCCTCGCATACGCCGCAGACGACATCAACAAAGGCGACGAGGAAAAATTTCAACTCTAGGGAGAATCGATGTATATGTTCTGTAAAGGCGAACATAAACCATCTTCCTATAAAACGTGAAAAAACTCCGAGAGAAAGGGCAAATAGCCGAACAACCGGCTTTCTCAACTGTGCGCTTCACCACAGCACAAAATATCGGAATGCAAACGCAAAAACTGCTACCGGTATGAAGGACCTCACCATTCATCAGCTTGCTTCAAGACCTTGCCGGCAGCAAGTAAAATACAGGAGAAACCCCAGCAATCGCAAAGTGTGGATCCAAAGAAAACGGACAATAGGACGAAGAGAAATATCAGATCGGCTTAAAAGGTCAACGTTGTGGCCTAAGAGGAACGCATTGAAGAAACTGAAACGCCGATTCTTCAAGTTCAGTCAACACAAGTAATCCATTCAACCACGTTCCTTCCCATAGACGAAATTCAAGTGGTAACTCCCACAAAAAGAACGACAAGTTGCGAAGCCTACGCACGGCTACGATTTGCGACCACGCTCGCAGAATATCACCGAAAACACCAACAAGTGTCTCAAGTTCCTTCATATCAACAAGAAAAACATTGGAACCTTATAAAAGACAAAAATAGTAGATTCATAGCCGGTGTCAAGAAAGCTATGGTTGCACTTCTAAATGATTCAAGTATACGAGACGCCAGGTTCGACAAGTTCAATCCCATTTTAGTTCGATTCATCAGCTGGGTTCATTGTTTTCCTGACGTTTGAACTCAAACATTGGAAAAGACAGTTGCTTGCAACCGCACAAGCATTTCACAAAATAAAATGCTTCCACTTGCGGAGCTTTCACAGGTACCGTTTCAAGTATAAGGTCAGAGACCGCAGAGTTTTCTGAGGTATGGCCTAACACCACGACCCGCTTTCACAGACCCGGTAGGAAGCATGAAAAGAATTATCCTTACTGTATTTCAAGTTTAATGGTTTGTGTAAACAAAGCACAAATGCCCTCGAGCAGGCAAATTGACGAGCTCCTTACTTCAGGTTGGCCATAAGCGATATCGATGGAGATGCTGCATACCTCAGCAGACTGCTCGTGAGATCACACCCAAACGCTGAACATCTCGAAACCGAACTCGAAAAATGCTTTAATGAAATAGGACTTTACATTACTGTGTCGCGTACTGTTCGTAATCATTTTGAATTCATTCAGTCCGATGACCCCTTCAAAAATGCCCAGGCGGGGTATAAAGTCATTCTTCTCACAGATCTCAGACACTCGGCCAGCACTGTAAAGGAAGTTCTTCTGCGAGTTGGAACGCGATTCGTACTCACCGAAAGGATCTACGCACTTCGCGCAAGTTCGGCAGGAGTTTCCGCAGAGCGCTATGAAGAATGGCTGGCTAAGGATGGAGGATCTCACAAGATAGGAGTTATCAATATGACGATAGAAACGGAACTTCGACCCCTGATAGAAGTGATCAGGCAGACGGAAGAACTCTTAGCGAAAGCAAAAAAGGACCTCAAAAAGAAAAGTTTTAGAGACCACGCACAACATCCAAGTAATGGGAACTTTAATCAGTTGCAGCAGTTTCTGAAAGAGCAGACCGAAAAAATCAGTTCCATGAGAACCAAATTATCGTCATTGGAAAACTTTGTGACTGACGGAGACCAGCATGTAAATCCGCATGACCAAGAATGAGAACAAGCTGAGAGCATTCCAAGTCAAGAAAAGGATTTGGAAATGGTTGACGACGAGCATCTCTCCAAGTTGATTGAAGAGAGAAAGGATGACGGTGGTTCTGTTAGTGTTGTAGTACAGTACAGTTCGAAGCGTACTACACACACAAAGAAATTCGAAAGTCAACGACGCCGGATAGAATCAATGGAATATGCGTTACAAAGATTCCCGTATCGCAAATTGGTCGCCTACTCGGACGGTGTGGAGCCACAACGCCCTTGTGTTTTCTGCAAAGCGCAATCCGCTCATTTTTCGGACTCATGTCCCATTGTCCAAGATGCACGCACACGGAACCAGATCATCGATGGTGGCAAATTGTGCCCTTTTTGCTTGGAGCAATGTGCAGACAGGTGCGGCCTGAAGAAAAAAGAATGCTGGTACTGCGTCAGAGTGTACAACACACCCTTCGAAGACCTTATTCCCAGTGAGAGGCATCACAAAGCATTGTGTCCGGTTCCTGAGGCTAAAGAGCAGATGCACATATGGCTAGAATATGCTCTCCACGAATGGCAGGGAATGGAACGTGGCAACAGATGGGGTGGCCGGGAGTGTCGTGGATGGCCCACTCCACGATCTACTACTGAATGGTATTGAATGGATGCCATCGTTAGTCGCTGGACACATTCAAGTTTGCTCCATCGGCTCTCGTTTTCTCTTCCTGATTTTGTTTCCAGTTTGCCTGACTTTGATGACTATTGAACACACCTTGAAGATAAACACCCTCTTCTGTTTGTATTGGATTCGTTTTCGCTTCTACTTAATTACTATTTTGTATTGGATTTGTTTTCGCTTCTACTTAAATACTATTTCATTTCAAATTCAAAGGTGTCAAGGATGGCCTACTCCACGATCGACCACTGCAGGATTTGGCGGGAAAAGTGGGTATA